TTCTCAGTTTTAGAAATATAACCCAAGCGTGTTTAAAAAAAAAAATCATGCTGAAATTCTTACTGGGCATTGCTGCTCCTGCTGCTTCTTGTCATAAATGATAAAGATGATGCTGTTAGTCTTGCATCTGGAGCAGCCTGAAAGATTTGACAATAACTTAGCTTTTGGAGCTGTGTAGTTTAAGTTCTCTGCTATATGTATCTGTATCAGATACGCATAAAATTTTATTTTTCTAATTTTCAAATCTATCATTGGCCCTTTATAGTTTGCTTGCAGAAGACATTATGTTTTGATTTAACAAATACTTCCTTCTCAACTTCATGCATGAAGTGATCCCGTTTCTTTCCTCCCAGTCTCTCCCTCTGATCACAGACATGTCAATGGTTTTCTGATGCATTTTACTGTTTCCTGCCCCAGCTGACTCTGCATTATACTAGGGGTGACAGTCACCCATCTCACTCTCTCTGTCACTACTAGGTGGCAGTAACCTTACTACTTCTTTCCTTCGCTCTTCCCATACCTGTCCTCACAGCTATCAGCCCTTTTTTCTCTTGAACTGCCTAACTGGGTTAACATAATGGTTCAACATTGAGCAGTTGTACTCTATGTCTACTCCCTGTGAAGATTTCTTTGTGTCTGAAACACAGCTGGTAGAGCTCCACACTGCTCGTACAATAAATGATGGTTCTTCTTGTTGCAGCCTAGCCTTGCTTATGTTCTTTGACCAACACAGCTGTAACAAAATTGGTCCTCCTTTGTCTTTTTCTAGTTAAACTGTAAACTCCAGAGCAGAGTCTCTGGTGATGTGTGTTGGAGCAGAACCTGCCTTAACGCTTTGAGCAGCGCCTCTGTTTCATACAGGCATTTTTTTAGGCAGAAACTGTAGGGTCTGACTTTGGATAAATTTGAATGTAGATATGCATTGACTTTGCTTATGTGTCAGGATCAGTATGTTGGCAAATTGGATGTTACAAATGGTATCAGGCAGCCTTCTAACAGCAGACCTGCAGCCCTGTTTGACTGAGGACCCTGACCTCTACGATCCCTGGATTTTGTAATCTAAGCAGATTTGTAAATGCAACAAATGTTTGGGTTGAAGAAGCTCTTTTAAATAGTATGGCTCATAGTATGTAAAGTGGTTTTAATAGCGAGATTGTATCCTCTGTCACTCAAAAATACAGAAACCTTTCTTTCTTTTCTGGAGTAAAATACGATAAATACAGACAAAGAAATTTCTGGTGAATAAATTGACCTTCAAAATTGGCAGGCTTGCTAAACTGCATGTGGAAGGCTGAAGAGATCACTTGTACGTCATTGCTTAGCAAGGGCAGGGCTTGGCTGCTAATGCTAATCTGAACACTGAAATACACTCTAGTAGTGCACAGGCTGTAAATTTAATTTGTTTATTTATTCTTGATTTTGTAATTTTAAGTACTGTCTTCTCTGCACCATGGAACAAAGACAGCATGAAATCGTGTCACATATTAAATATGCTAATTTTTCTTCTTGGGAGTCATTTTTATAATTTGAGATACACATAGCAAAAACTGGGGTTAGGCAACTTAGAAGAAAGTTTGACAAAATCCTGAAGAAACAGGTTTTCCTTCAAATATACAAGAAAAGATCAGAATACTGAAGACTTTTATTCTCATTAGATCTGTATCTGGCATGAGTTGGCATAGCGTTTGGCAGGATTAAAACTGTTAAAGTGTTGCCAGCAAAGGGTGATCTTATGTCAGGAAAATGAAAAGGAAGGCTGGATCAAATATTTATTTATTTATTTTTAAATATATGTTATTTAATTTTAGTCAGTTTGGGCCTATTGTTTGACTGAGACGATAAACAGAAATAAAGTAAAACAATATGTTTTCCACCTGTGTAGGTAGTTTATATATAGTTAGTGACAGGGGACTCATTTGGTAGGTATGTTTATGGTAAGGGTAATTTTCTTTGGTTTACTGGGAATTTTTTTAGTATAAGATCTAGTTTTAGAGCAGGGAAGAAACTAACAAATGAATTTTGTGGGAGGGATGCATATTTTTTAATAGGCTTTCATTTAGAGCATCTGGTTGGAAAATATTTTGGGTATGATGTTTCAAAAATGAAAGCGACAACAATATACTTTTTATAACCATTGCTTTAAAAACCCTGTATTCTTCTAACTCATCAAGTCCTTATGAATTAGAAAGTGAAACATAACGCTTGATGGTGTCAATGTAAAAATGTCCTTTTTGGACTGCAGTTATAAGTTTAAGTCAAACATGTTTCTACTTTAATTCTGAACATTGGACAGTAAAAAAATCAGCATGTATGTTTGCTGTGCAGTGATCTGTATATTGCACAGCATAATAGCTACATTTGAAACCATCTTTCAGTTCTACAGGCATGGAGAGAAATGTTAAATTTGTACTGTAGTTGCTCATAAACTTTTTCTTCAGATATTTAACATGATGGTGCTTAAACTTTTTGAGAGGGGAATAGTTGCTGAACTGAAAAGAGCAACCTCTTAGTTAAAACAAACATTGGCACTACTTGTGTACTTTCAGCTAGGAATAAATAGCTTGTAAATCTATAGCTAGCTATAGATATTTGTATACAAATATTTGTAACTTAAGTATTTTTATTATGTACAAGAAAAGCCATTAACAATTTATTTTTCAAGGGCTGACAGACTTTCCTCTAGTCTTGAAAAATTCCAGTGCTCAAGAAATACCTTTAAATTCAAGCAATAACTAATATAAAGATACACGTTGAGATCTTGACCCCATTGTTCGGGGATTTCTATGGAATCTGAGAGACTGCTTGTGTTATATGGCTATTTTTACTTGTTTTTTTTTCTTTGATGTATTTGTGAAGGACATGCATTTATATATGCATGTAATAAAAATTGGCTAACTGATACCATAATATTGGGCTCTTCATTGACATTCAGTTTCTTCTTTGACTCAAACAGCATAACATAGAGGCTAGAGAAGTTCGAAGAGGAGGCTTTGATCTTCTTAGTTGCATGAGGAACAGTTACAGGGCGCTTGTTCTCCCTACAGACATCGCCCCTTCTCAAGACCTATGCAGTGTCCAGAGTGGGTTTCTGTATGTGCAGAAGACTGATATGCTTCTCAGAAAGGATAGTGGTAGAGCAAACGCTGTCCTGGTTATAGTGCACTGTCAACACCTCTGGAAGTTTCTTTTTTTGTGGATGCCAAGTCTGTCAGTCAGGCTTCTGCAAAAGATGAGAATCGATTATTTGGGGTGGTTAGTGTGTTATTGTGATACCTCTAAATGTGGACGGTGCCTATTCGTGTGTTTGAAGCAGGATTCATGTTTCTGGTGAGTGTACTTTTGTTCAAAACAAAAAAGGCTGAGCTAAGGGATGTGCTTTGTATTATATACTCAACTATAATTTTCCTGCTGTTTATTTAACTTCTACACAGGCAATGGAAAAGAGATAGCAAAAATTGGACTTGAGGAATTCAAGACATGTTTGTCCATTGGAATTCTAGCTCTGCCATATTCCCTGGCCCTAACTTAATATCTTTGCATGGTGTACTTTATGGACTTAATAGGACATGCAAAGCACTAGCTTAAAACTGCTTTGGTCCTTTGGGGTTCTAGTAATGAAGAATTTCAAAGCAACTTTGAAAAGGTCTGTCTGACAAAGTACAGCTGCGTAAATGTTGGGATAAACCCTGACTGTCAGTATTGAGGGAATCTGTCATGAGTCCTAATGGAGAAGAACGTTTGAGATGACATTCCACTACACCTCAAATTTGTGCAGAAAAACTTCTCTTGAACCTTCTGCACCATCAAGGAGCTGGAGGACAGGTATTCTGCATGCACAGAATGGGAACAAAGATACTTTGATTTTATTCCGTAGACATGGTTCTTTTGACAAAATCATGAAGTAAATGACTACATTGGTGTTCACACCCACTTACATCAGCAATGTCCAATGTAAAATATTTATTGTTGGTAATAACAGCCCATCTGTTCAAGATTTTCTTAGTCTCCTGGGCAGACCGTGTTGCAAATAAGATGAAGTCACTTTGAATATATTTTCTTTTTTTTGTTGTTTTGCCTACTTTGACAAGAGGGTTTAAATCCCTGCAGTTCAGGTCATCTAGAACTCAGCATTTTTATATAGTTAAAAATGTGTATGTGCAAAGGTGAATTGTTTGATTAAATGAAAGGTGACTTTCTACATATGATAATGCAATTGGCTTAATTTATGAATGATTTGTGTATAAACTGTTAACTGCTCAGATAATCTATGATAAAACTGAATTTTTAGGAAAGTATTGAACAGTGGTCTTTTTTTTCCATTTATTTCTAAAGAAGCAACTGTTTTAAGCAGGAGTTCTACTTATTTCACATAATGGTGATTATAGGAGGGTTAAAGGCAAAAAAGCAGAAAAACTAAAACTACTTGTAAACATCACTCGGACTAAGAAGGATGTCAGCTGAAATGCTCAGTATGAACCGATACACCAGCTCTACCTCCATTGGTGTATAGTCTCCTTTTTCCAGTTGAACCAGTCTTTAAGCTTGTTTGCACTGAAGGGCAAATTGTAGTTGAGGAACATGCCCAGCCTGAGGATACTCCTGGTCTTCCATGGTTACATCCAAACTGGGACACAAACATACATACATCCCTCTTGTGAATTTGAAGGCTTCAGAGGCTGCAACTATTGCCCTTTGGGTACAGAGTTGGTCACTCTTTAAACTGTTATTCAAGTAAGACATCATGCGATATGTTTCCTTGATGCAAGGAACTTGTATGCAATGCATAATAAAGAAACTTTCACTGTGTGTGATTCTCGTGTGACATATTTGAAGAGCTGGGTCTTGTGTAACGTACTGGTGATTATTGGATATCTGCCAGTCAGAGCAGCTCCTATCTTGCATTTATTGCTTTAATATCATGTACGGACATCACAGATTAATATTTCTGAAACTTGTGTGAGGACTAAACATCATTTCTGTTCTTTGTTCTGTGTTTATAGTCTGGGACTGTGAAGCTGACCAAGCCTGTGGCATTATGGACCCAGCAGGATGTCTGCAAATGGCTGAAGAAACATTGCCCTAATCAGTATCAAATCTACAGTGAGTCATTCAAACAGCATGACATAACTGGTAAAGTATGCACTATCAGAAATATTTTACTTAAAATGTGGCAAATTGTTTTACTTTGCTGTTAATAGATTGTGACTGTGCACTGAGGGCTTTTTGTTGATTGTTTGACTAGAGAGTTGCAAGGTTTAGAGCAGGGGGAGTATACCAGTTTTCATAGGATGTGGTAAGTGATTTCCCCATCTCTCCAAAAGATAAATTTCAGATTATTCAGGGTTAATATCATGAGGAAAGAAGTCAGTCTGTATGTGGGTAAGAGCCACACCCTGTTCATTCCAAATAAATAAAAAACCCCTCAAAAACTATAAGAAATGTCCTATGAGGAAAAATGTGTCTTGTCTTACAATGATGCTTTTTAGTATATTCTTCTATTTTATTTTTCTGTTTACTTTCGAAGTTGATATTGAATTTGTTGATGTGCTTGACTTGTTAACTCCTACTCAGTTTGCTGTAGTGGTATTTTCAAAGCTGACCACTTTGAACTGAAACGAGTTTAGCAGAGTAACTGGATTAATATAAATACAGATGTAACTTGGGACTTAACTAGCATTTTTACTTATATCCCAGGCAGTAATTAATCTGTAAAAAGTTTAATGTGGAACACTAATTTGTTCTCTCAAGTGGTGGTATACAAAACTGGGAATTGGCATTCAGCCATTTAATATCAAGCAGAGATTTGATTTTCATATAAAATCTCAGTCTTAACAATAATGTATTGTTAACTACTGTATGTTTCAATGAGTGTCTGTTCGTATATAGTTGTGGTGTTTCAAATTTTACATTGATTCCTGTTGCTATTCTTTCCTTTCTGGTAATATACGAATGATTGCAAACATGGCAGTCTAAACTACCAATATTTGTATACTACGTAGCCATGAATAGCATACACCCTTTCATGTGAGAAGTGTTTGTATTGGTTTGGTAAGTGTTGAGTTTTAGTACATAACCATTGTGCCCATTTCCTCTAAGTCATCATCTATTGAATTCAATCCATAGGAATGTAGTCTGTGTCTCCACCCATGTGTACAATGCTAACTGCATCCAGAGCGCTACCAGAAAAAATTGAAGCTATTTTAAAATTTTTTTCTAGTACTGTTTTACTATCATATTGACTCTTTTTAGGATTAAGGCACTGTGAGATGGAGTTGAAAGGAAGAAAAAGTTGTTTTCATTTCAACATAAACATAGATGGAAACCTTGTAGTTTCATTGCAGATGTGCAAAACTTCAAACTTTATAGACCTCTTTGAAAAAGAAGAATCAAGATCAATCTTTCTTTACACAAAAGAGGTATACGGAAAATATTAGTATGAGTGTTAGAAAGTAAGTCTGCAGGAAAGAAAATAACGTCAGTTCAGTAACTACCAAAGAAATGAAGAAACACAATCAATGTTTGTACGGATTTTATAAAAATACATTGTGATAATATTATGAGTGAAATCAATAACTCGGGAGGATATTTCCAGTGCTGTTGGTCCCTGTGACTATGATTATTTGAAATCTAATAAGGGGATAGAACAGTGGATTTGTAGCTCAAAAAAAGTAGAGCATGAAAGGAGCATGGAAACTAATATGAAGATTAAGCCAAGGTAGTGTAACTGTTTCCAGAGATGGCTATGGAAAAGTGATGTGATTGTTGAAAATTTCTCAGGAATTAAGTGACTTTACAGGCTGCTTTGATATGGAAAAATATGATGGAAAAGAACTTGAAGAAAGTGACATGGAAAGGATATTTAAACTTTGTTTGAAGATAAAATCTAAGGCATGGTCATAAGCCAGGAAAATCGTCTTGGGCAAACATATCTAGCAGTTATTAACCATAGGTGTTGAAAAGTGTGGCATTTTACTTGGGACTATTAGTTGCTGATTACAGTTTATTGAGTTGGGGGCAAAAATGCAAACCAAAATGTCCTTTTCTTTGTGGAGATTTTATTTTTACCACTCCTGACAGAAAGCAGCTGCAAATGTGCAAGAAAAAAAATGCTTAATCTGGTGATTTACATAGTAAGAAAAAAGAGCTTTATATTAACAGTGATTTTGAGGATGCCATGGGACAGAGTGTACTCTCATCAGATTTGCAAATGACACCAAATTGGGGCTAACAGTGCACAGACTCAAGACTAGGGCTGCCATTTGTAGGGACCTAGGCATAGGGACCAGACACAGGCTGGAGGAATGGGTCAACAGGAACCTTATGAAATTCAACAAGGACAAATGCAAAGTTCTGCAGCTGGGAAGGCCAAGCCAGTTGCACCCAATACAGCCTGTGGTTGACTGGCTGGGAAGTGGCTTTGGTGGAGAGGACCTGTGGTCCTGATAGGCAGGAAGATGAAATGAACCAGTGTTGTGCCTTGGCAGCAAAGAATGCTAACAGAATCGTGGGCAGTATTAACAGGGATAGTGATTATTCCCCTTTACTCTGCTCTTTTTAGCCTCCAGTTCTTGGATCTCCAGTGCTGGAAATTGCACTCCTGTGCAAGTTCAGGTGATGGCTACCAAGATGCTCAGGACGGGATCACCTGCCCTGTAGGAAGCGGACTGAGGGAGCTGGGCTTGTTCAGCCTGGAGAAGAGGCAGCTTGCTGAAGTGGGGTGAGGGGACTAGCAGCAGCCCCTGGTATGTAGAAGGATGTTATAAAAAAGATGGAGCCACAGACTTCAGAGTGATTTATGAGAGACACCAGACTTGAGTTGAAACAAGAGTCTGAGGCTGAACATAAGGAGAAACTTTTTCCCCATGAAGGTGGTTGGGCATTGGAGCAGGTTGCTCAGATGGGGTGTGCAGTCTCTGTCCTGGGAAGGTTTCAGGTGCCAACTAGATAAAACCTTGAGGAACCTGACCTTATTTTGTAGCTGATGTTGCTTTGAGCAGGAGGTATGGCTAGAAATCTGCTGGGATCTCTTCCAATCTGAATTCTTCTGCGGTCCTATGATTTGCTGAGAATTTACTGAGTACCTCACAACCAGTGAAATGCATTTTGCAGCCAGTTAGGGAGAATTAAATATGGAAGGGTCTAATAAGAAATTGGGAGACTTTTTTTATACACAAAATCCTTGAGTTCAGTGACCAGAGCATTTGGTTAAGTTGACTTATTCAGCAACAGGTCAGTGGTCATTTTCATTGTGTTGGACCCAAAGCTAGAACCAAAAGAATTTGAAGGACTAATACTGAGTGAGATCTAAGGGCACCTGATAGGAATTAGCAGCAGTAGGAAAAATAAGACAATAAAAAGGGGGGAACAAAGGTGACAGTGGCCTGTACAGCCAAGAAAGCAAGGTAATGGTAGGGCCATGTCACTGGAGGCTCTACAACTGGTGTGGGCATTTACCAGTGTGAGGGGACATAAAAAGTTGCTCTGACTGGCCATCTTTTTACACTCATTTATACTAGTACAATCCAGGAGGCAAGCCTGAGAAATGGACCTTGCTTTCAGTGTGCATTTGTGGCTTTGAATTTGCCAGGCAGCAATACTGTTAAATGACTATGGAGTTCTTGAGAGGTGAGTTGTTCTTTGACGGTCTTATCCTGTACCATTGAAACAAATGAAGATTTTTGCAATGTCTCAGCATTAACAGGAGCAAGACTGGGCATAGAATGACTAAGGAATGCCTACTTTGGAGAAAATGTTCCATTGATAAAGTAATAAAGATGATGTCGAGGTAACTGCCTATTGATGTGTGATTTGTTGAAAGGAAGGAAGGAAAGAAACCCTGCTTCACCTCTTGTTTTTATGCCATGTTCCCCAGTGTGCTAATGCATGTCTTCAGAGCATGAGGTTTTAATGCTGTGATCATTAAACAAACCTCATTCTGTCAAAGTAATATCCAAGAGGTACCTTGGTCCAAGTGAAGGAATTTGATAGGAGGTACTTGAAAGGACTCAAGCCTTTTTAGATTAAACTTTTAATGGGAAAGGAACAGGACTTAAGAAAACCTCTTTTTAGTTTTAGAAGGGACCAGAACTTATGAATATTTATTAAATACCAAATGGCACCTCGGAAAATGAAATACTAACTGCTACTGAAAACCTGCTGCAAAAAGCCTTAAAATCTGGCTAATTCTGTAACCGCTAAAGATGCTTGCATTTGAATCAGCTATATTGACATATATTTTTATGAAATTCATGTAAAATCTTGGTTTTAATATCTGAATTGATTTTTTTTTTCACTTCAGTAATATCTTAGCAAATGTTAGGAGTTTATCATATCAGCTGAAATACTCGTTATTTAGCACGTTGGTGAAGGGATGGTCTTGTGGTTTAAGATACTACACTGGAATTTGGAGAAATCTTGGCTCCGTTTCAGGTTACTCTGGTGTTCTTAGGAAGCACACTGAATCCTAAGGTTCTAAGTTACTCTCTCCAGACAGAGAAAGGGCTTCTTTTTCTTATCAAAGTGTTGGCAGATATCTTTCCAATTTCCAGAACAAATATAATTTAATTACGCCCTTTGTTTCATGGAACTCAGTGGAGTTTTGTGCTGCAGCCAACGAAGTGACCTGGGATGAGAGATGTGCAATAGAGCACAGGAAGCCTGGGTCTCATTCCTACCTCTGGGGCAGGAAGGGTGACTGAAAACAGGTGGCTTTATTCACCATGTTGTGACCTCCTGATCATGTTCATCCCGCCCATATATGTTTTGGCATCTGTACAACGGAGATAAAGATACCAGTGTTGTTAAATGTGTTGTAATATGTGTATAAAAGATGTTATTTGAGCCAGCTGAGTCTTCCTGTTAACGGGTCCGTTTTGTTTGGAACAACTGCTCACTTCCTGATCCCTCCCTTGGCAAGTGATCCCAATGTTGTTATCTTTCATCCTTCCATTATTGATGAGTATCACATTGACCCAAAATATCTCTCATGCCAGTGACAGAGCACACCTAATGTGAGGCCCGATGCAAGAAGCAAAGTGAGGTCTTCTGTAAGGTGACCTCAATAGGTGTTCACCCTGATGTTTCCCCATCTGTGTTACCTGACATCTGGCCCTTCAGAGTCTTCTCACAGA